TTTTTTTTTTTTTTCCCTGGTTTACGAAATGCGAAATGCTCCTGCATGCCCTGATTGGTTTATCCTCTACTTCCATCTTCTAGTTGACAAGACTTTGTGACTGAATCGGGCGGTAATTTCAGTCGGATACACGCAAGCTGTGCTGCCGCTTCGTATAATATATCTATGGAGTATCCGGTGGAACGGCCACGGTCGCAGCAGGACTTGGTGACTGAATCTGGCGGTACTCTCAGTCAGATACACGCAAGAAAGTTCTACGCAATGTGAGTACGAATAATGTGCCTTCGCCGTTTGCGTGGTAGGCTGACAAACGCCATATCCAAGACCCCAAAAAACAAACGAAACCAAAAAAAAACCACCGAGTTAGCATGAGCTAGGTGCTCAGAATCACGCATGCACTTACGTGTGCGGGTTAGCATGCATGCATGTACGTCTGCATGCGTGTGCATGTTGCATGCATGTGCATGCACTCCTACGTCCCCTCGTGGGGATCAAGCATCGCGGGTTGGAAAGATCGTCGGCTACAAAAATAGATGGGACCTATAAATAGACGGGATTGCTGATCTTTCCCATTCAGCCCTACCCTTCTTCACCCGAATACAACGTACTACGGTCATTATCACTGTATCTAGACTCAAAGTTGCCCCAAGTACAGCTATAGTGACGGTACGTTGTATTCGGGTGAAGACTGTAGTGTGCCATCCTCCCCGTTTTTCTGTTGCTTTTCCTTTTTCTTTTTTTTTTTGCAAAACACACCAAAGCCCCCTCTATTCTGGGGGCCAAAAGTGGGGCTGCTTATCACCTTCCCAGCATGGGAAAGATCACAGAGTCCAGACTGAAGATAGAAAAGACAAGACAGCCATTAGCTTGGGGCACAAGACTCCGTGAGCAGGGTCCCCCCTGCCTCTTTTTCTCCAACGTGAGGGCCTCGTCACACCCTGGGCCTCTTGAAAACTCATTTTCTAGGGTACAGTTGCTGCCCTGCCTGGCCACTCAGCCTCTCTTGAAACTTGGCCCACAGGGTTGAGGCTGTCATAGCAGTTTCTTAGTACCCTACATAGGGGGTGTCAGGAGATACTGCACCTTACCGCGGGGCCGGAACGGGTTCCAGCGACCGGAAGATTCAGCTATCTATCATCAACACCCAATAGAATATCGGAATAACGTACTTATGGGACCTATAGAGTAAGTAGGGCTCTACTTAGTACAGTATCCGCGGCCACTGTCCGGTCAGGTAGACGCCGTCTGTAATAGACTGTAAGGTGATTGTCCTTAGTGGCATGGGAGTAGAGGTGCGCCAGGGGAAACTACCAAAGTGGTAGGTTGGAAGGGAAGTTCCATAGGATGATAGGAATGCGGTAACCTCATGGCCAAGTGCCGAAGGCACCCCTCACATGTCTAGAAAAAGGAAATCCAACCTCTACAACAACCTGGGCTTTTTAAAAAGGAAAAAAAAAAAAAAAACCCTGCCAGAGTCACTGTGGCTCTTGAAACCCTTTTTCAATTCTGTTGAAAGATTGGAAACCCAAGCCTGCCTGCAACTGGTGCGTTTTCAAGCGTCCTTGGCAGAACCCTTGAGGGACTACGGATTTTCAAGAGTTGTGGGGCCATTATCCTGACTGACGGCCATTCTACGAAAAAAAAAAGGGGAAACTATGGGGGAGTCACAATTACTGAAGTCTATCCCAAAAGAAAGGGGAAACTAGGCGGGAGTCACAAAAATGAGTTATAATTGCACTATGGGCCGAGATACAGTTTCGAGTTGCAGTTCGGGCAATGTATACAACCCAGCTTTCTGCCCAGGTAGGGTCCCCTTAGTGCAATTGCAAACTGTATCTTGCCCCATAGTGCAATTATAACTCGTTTTTGTGACTATTACCCCAACAAGAAAAGCAAAGCAGTAGGACAGTCTTTTTGCATCCTCTGTCTTTCTGCACTGTCGCCGTTTCAAGAGTGCTGTGTGTGGCGAGGGGCCAAAGACACTTGAAAATGCAAGTCTTGAAACCGTCTGACAGCTCTGGAAACATTTCTCTGTCTGAAGAGTGGTGTGGCGAGGCCCCGAGGGGACAATGGGCCTGGCCCCAGTAGTCTAGACTGACGACAATGCGTGAGTGCGGCCTCCCTCCACTTAGGGCCTCGCCACACCACTCTGGAAAAAGCGATTGTCGATAGTTTGTCTTGGCCACACAGGCTGTCGAAATTGGAGACGGGAAGAAAATTCGCAAGTTGTCAGAGAATGCTTGTCCTCACCTCTCGAAAGTTCTTGAATCCCCAGCCTGCTACTCCGAAGCTTTCGACAGTCCTTGCCTGCGCCATCGACTTCTCTTCAAAATTTGGTGAGTGGGCGTGAGGTCGGGATGGACTGACTAACGCTTGTTGAACCCTCAGGCACGTTCGTCTTTTTCCATCTTGCATTCACAAGTGCGTTCACTCTACGGTGCTGTGCGCAGTGTGCGGCCAAAGGGGGGCAAACTGTCCAAGGGAGGCTGTCGAATTTATTCCGACAGCCATCGAATTTTTCTGCCTTTGGACAGTGGAGTCGCAAGACCCTATGAGGCTCACCACACAGGCTGTCTGTCAGAAAAAAATTGAAAGTCGGCCGTCGGCAGTTTACCCCCCCTTCGCCACACAGGCTGTCGAGGGGCAAGGTTTTTGGTCATGGCCAAATGGACTCCGCCTTTCGACAAGGCACTCATGGCCAAATGGACTCCGCCTTTCGACAAGGCACAGGTGTCACGGAACAGTCCCTGACAATGCAAATTGGAAACCAATTCTCCAAAGGAAGGTGGGGCACTTTCGAATTTCCATCTCCTGCGAGCGGAAGGAAACGAATTATGGGGAGGGTGGCTGTCGAGCGTATCATTCTGACACTTGTTGAATTTTTTCTGAGTCGCGAAAGTCCGTGTGGCGATACAAAATTGTCGAAAACCTGGTTTTAGACAGCCTGCGTGGCTCAGTAGATTTGCAGTCTCTTCACAGCCTCTTGCTGTTTGAAGTGCATAGCGATCAATCCTCGCCAAAGCCGGGTAATGGCCCCGGTATCTCAAATTGTTTTGCATATGTTTCTTAATATGTTCTTGAATGGGACGCTGGGCCCAGTTCCCAGCACGTGCTGCTCCCCACGAATAGACTGGAGCTTTGTCCCCAAAAAAAAAGAAAAAAGAAAAAAAGAAAACGACAGCCTGTGTGGTGAGCCTCTAAAGCTGAGGGCCTGGTTGCACTACTCTCCATACCCCAAGTTTGGCGAGAAGGCGCCTGGTTGCACTTACTCGCCAAACTTGGCGAACCAAAAATATGTCAGACTGCTCGCCACACCGCCGACACAAGTTGTGGTGGCGAGTGTTTTCGGTTTCCCCGTCTGTGCACAGCGGTTTGTGGAGGGTGGTCCTCCAACCTCTACACAAAACAACTTTCTGGAGAGTGCACGGGGAGAGTGCACCCTTCACGAGTCGAGATCAGGCAGGCTTCTGTAGAAGAAATAGGGGCTCGTTCGACACTCCTCAGGGCGTCCTCGGGCCCCGAGGACGTCGCCCGAGGAAATTCCTGCCTTCGTTCCACTCATCCTCGGAGTCGTCCCCCGAGGACGATTCCTCAGGGCTCTTGTGGCCAGATTTATATATCTACAAGCGGATGTAGGGGTGGGGCCGATGGTGGTCCATCGAGTTGTGTCTGTGCGGACGGCCTTGGTCCACCTCTGTTGGCCGTCGCGAATTCGAATCACGGCGGGAAGGGGCCATTGGAAAAGGCGCGCACGGCCACAGTTCAAAATTCAAAATTCGAAATCTTGCTCTGCGAGTGGCGGCGCGTGATGGACGTGCGTTTCACACCGGATGGCATCAGCGTCCGGCGTTCGGGGCGTTCACATAAGTGACGATGGTGGCCGGCGGTTGTCGTCGACGAGTACGCAGGTCTACGCGTGTGAAGAAACGGAGACGACATCGACTTCTCACCATCGTCGCGGGCGTCGTCAGTGCGTGGCATCCAAGGTTGTCTGCAGACGCGGCGTTGTGTTCTTCCACGTGGCGGCATTTGTGGAGTCGTGTGTTGTTACTGACGTCATGTCCTTGGAAGCGGCGTCGTGGATGGATATTGATGGCGAGGTGGGGCGTGACGTTCTGACGACGGCAGAGAGGACAGTTGTCACTACGGCCATCAATGTCGTCCTTTTCCGTTGCCAAATGGCGAGCAGCGAGGGGAAGTTCAAAGTGGCTGTTCGTGCACGCCGCAAGCTCTCGGCGCTGCCGACGACTGCCCAGTGCTTGGGCGTCAGTGCCATTTCCGACGCGGTGCTGCAGGTCTGCTACGCGATGGGGTGCGGCGCGCTTCCACGGGCGACTCCAAGGTGGTGGATGAAGCGGCGGATGGGAGGTACGTGGGAGGATCTGCGGCAATGTGATGACGCGACAGATGACTACTTCAAGGACAAGCTTCGAATGTCACCACGTGTTTTCCGCGAGATCACGGAGACTCTTTCCCCACTCCTGCAACGCCGTGTGGCGTTCTACAGGGTGCCCTTGCAGCCAGACCACATCATCGCCTACTCTCTGTATAGGTGGGCGTCGGAGGAGACATACAATAGCGGGACGTGTAGCTTCGGCATTGGCAGGTCTTCCGGCATCACAGCGGTGCGGAACGTCACTGCGGCGTTGCTAACTACGTACCCCGATAAGATATCCTGGCCCACAGGTTTGCAGAAGGCGGTCGTCTTGCGCGCGTTCACAGACAAGGGTTTTCCAAACTGCCATGGGTGCATCGACTGCACCCACATCTACATCAACAAGCCCGCCAACGCGAATGGGGAGGACTACTGCGACAGGAAACGTCGATTCTCCGTGCAGGCGCAGGTGGTCGTGGACGTGAACTTGCGTGTGCTGGACGTCTTCGTCGGTTACCCGAGCTGTGTGCATGACATGAGGATGCTGAACCTGTCCACTTTGTGGGCGCACACGGAGGCAGGACAACTTTTCACTGGGCCGCCTGTGATGCTGCCTTTTGGTGTGCCGACTAATGGTTACTTGCTCGACGACAACGGTTATCCCCAGTCCGAATAGATAGTCGTCCCTTACGACGGTCTCGCGCAGCACCCGTCGGAGGCACGCTTCGACAACAAACAGAAGACGACGAGGGGAGCAGTGGAGAGGGCGTTTGGCAGACTGAAGGGGATGTGGGGGTTGTTCCTCCGCACCCACAAGTGCAACATGGAAACCTTGCCGCAACAATTTGTCACCGTCTGCATCACTCATTGAAGCAGGCGTCCCGTTTGACGACAATCTGTTGTAGGAGGTGGGTCCGGACGGCGTGCGTCGTAGAGTCGATCTTGGGATGCATCAGCCACTGAGGCCGGTGTGCATGGAGTCATCAACGGGGGATGCGCTGATATTGAGGGACGCGCTGGCGCCTATGTGACACCCGCGGCCTAGGCCGCGAGCATTTCGGCTGTTGCGGCCGAGATTCTCGGTCGCGGCCGCGGCCGATGAGGTGCAATCCGCGGCCTGGTTTTTTAATATTCCCCCCCCCCCCCCCCCTAAAAATATGTAAAAAAAAAAAAAAAAACATATAGGGATGTAGGGCTTGGAAAACATTACACTCCTATGTTTTTTATTTCAGAATCCGACTTCGTTTAACATTTTTAAAAAAAAAAATCAAAAACTAAAATCAATTTAAACAAAATAAAAAATAAAGAAAGAAAGAAAAGCAGGATTTTTTTTTTGTCATTTTTTATCATAACATATATGGTCCCCGAGTTGACCTGTGTTTTTTTTTAAATGAATTTCTATTTTTTGCAGGGAAATTAGGTGTTTAAAAAAAAATGCAGATGCAAAATTTGAAAAAAAAAAAAAAAAAAAAGGGTTTGATTGATTGATTGATTGATTGATTGATTGATTGTGAGTGTGTGTGTGTGTGTGCGTGTGTGTGTGTG